AGAGAGAGAGAGAGAGAGAGAGAGAGAGAGAGAGAGAGAGAGAGAGAATAAATCTTAACAACAAAATCAGAAGCTGCTAGATTCTTCTTTGTACTTGGTTACAATGACACTTTGATAAACTTAGGACACTCCTTTCTCCCTAAGAGCCAATAGTAAACAATCATCTCAAACATTTCAGGGACTTCTTAGACATTATAGAGTATGTTCTCTGTTGGGAAAAAGGGGAGTTGGCTCAGTAGCTAACACGATTTGCTGTACAGGAATGAGACCCTGAATAAGATGTAAGAGCTGGGAAAAAAGTCAACACAGACGTGTACGCATACACACACACAGGTACACACACACAGTTCTTCATGCCATTTCTTCCCTCTGTTCTGCATAAAGGTGAGGAACAATGAGCGATTGTTTTTTTTTGCAGTGCAACTTTGAAACATCTCACTTGAGAATGCAATATAACATCAACAGAATTAAAAATTAGTGGGTATAAAAAACCCACCCTTCAATCTTATCTTTCAACAAATCACATCGTTTCCAATTTTCAGGTTATGGCACCAGTCTCTGCTTTTGAGCACGCACAGATTCTATCTCCTGTCTTTCTTCACATTACCTATAAACATTTCACATATTGTGCAATCTTCATAACTATCATGAAAATAAATTTATTAATGGGTTCCTGTAACATAATGGAACCTTTTCCCACTTTCGAACACGCTGCCCTCCTTCCCCACCCCATCTTCTCTTGCTACCAGCATTTGCACTTACAGAATTTATGGTTGCTTTTGAGGTTTCCCCCTTCACATGTATTCTATAAATAGAGAGTCAGGAATATCTAAATGGATCTTCTACTAAGAAAGTACTTTCTGAATTTCACAGTCATTAACAGTAACATGTACACCTACAGTGTATACTACCGGGACTTCTGCCAGCATTTGGGTATTAGCATTTTCTATTACAGGGAGGAATACTAGCTTCATAGCGGTGAAATCTTTATGATTTCATATTAATTAAATATATACTCTTTTAATCTACGTTTTATTACTATGATTGCTAAATGCTTTACAGTATGAGGTGATTGTATTTTCTACTATGGATTATCTCTGAGGTATGCCTTAGTTGGTGGCCGTTGTGAGGGCAGGGGTGTGTCACAGCTGGTAGAGGGCTTGCCTAGCATACACAAAGCTCTGGGTTCAATCCCTAACATAACATAGACAGGACATGGAAACACAGGCTTATAATTATGGCATTTGAAAGTAAAGGCAGAGGAGCAGAAGTTGAATTTCAAGAAGACTATTTTCTTCTGCTACATGGCAAATTGAGGGCCAGCTTTGGATACATTAGAAACTGTTCCCCCCAAAATTATTTATACATGTGCTTTTATACACTAGAGAATAATTATATACATTATTAAATACACATTTCTAATACAAGCTGTTTCTTTTTTACTTTGATATTTTATGGCAAATATGTTTGATATTTTAATATCATTAAATATGTTAAATGTGTACCAATGCGAATTCTTCCTATTCCTTCAAAGCGCACAGCAATCCTACCAAATGTCTTGTAGATATAAATTCATGATTCATTATCTTTCAATTTTTTATTTAGTCAATATGGAGCACACTTTGTCATGGCATGAGAAGAGAGTTTATATTGCTTTGTTTTAAAAATTGTTAATTGTATGAATAATTACTAAAATCCTCCTAGTTACCATTTGATATCAGTTATTTTCTATATATTAATTTCTCGCACATATAAAGCCAAAATTTCCTATACTTTCCTAGGTAAAGAATCATAGGAAAAAACCCAACTGTATTGCTGTGAGTGATAATTTGATACCTGGAATGGGTTTTCAACATTAGGCCTTTTCTTTGCTTGTGTTCACGACAGTGAGTCATTGGTCTGGTTTGAGGCCTCTGCTTTCTGTCACACTATCAATCCTGGGCTACGCCTTCTTTTTAAAAATATCCTCTTATAATTAACTTATTTCCCAATATATCTTTTGTGTTTTCTTTTTGAGACTGGGTTTCTCAGTAATTCCCTGGCTGTCCTGAAATTCCCTCTGTAGACCAGGCTGGCCTCGAACTCAGAGACCCACCTACCCCTGCCTCAGTGCTGGGTTAAAGTGTGCGCCACCACCGTCTGGCTCATTTCACCTCTTAAAACAACCTACTTGATGGTTAATCGGGACTTGAACTCTGTTATCATAAACCAATCCAGAGGGCATATATAACTATATACAAAGATATAATATGCATCTTGATTAAATCTTTTGTAATACACAATTAATACTATTTTTAAAGATGACATTTGTAATACTGTATGGTGAAGGAGATGAGAGATATAATGGGAGAGATGAAAACTATGCCGTGAGACACGCGCAAACAGCTAAACTCAAGTGGTGGACTCTCTTAGCTCCGTCTTCAGTACCGTGACCACGTCTCCAGCAAAGGTTAGGTAATATCAGAATCCACGACGCAGCACGTGCATGACATGAACACCTCACCTGCCATGCTTGGTGGAGCTAATGTTGCCTTCATCACTGATATCAAAGCCAAAAGGTGCACATACCTCTTTCACATCAGGAGCACAAGCTCACCTCGTAACCTCACGATATGTACAAACCACAATGGTGCTGTCCCCACAGTTTATTACTTTTCTGCTTTAACGGTTGTAACATCTTTTCTTACTTTCCATTTATTTCAGATTGCTCGGAGGAATATTGCCAATTATAGCATGTACATCTCAGGCTCAATGTTTATGAAGTTCCTTATGGTCTCTTTTTGAAAGTTTGAATCATTGTTTTTTTTTTTTTTTCTAGCGGAGGTTGTCACCATTCCAAAAGCAAGGAGATGTTTGAGATTCACATATTAATAAAATCAGCTAATAAAACAAACAAGGCTGGCAAGATGGCTTAGTGGGGAAAGGTGCAAAGCGCCAAGCATGAGGACCTGAATTTGACCCCTGAAATTCACAGGGTGGAAGGTGAGAACCGACTCCTACAAATTGCTCTCTGCCCTCCACCTGTGCGCGGCTTCACGCACACGCTGCCCCCCTCACTGTACACAGAGCCAGTACAGTAATACATACATGTAATGACCAAAAAATGCAGCTTAACAAAATAAAAAACAAAAGGCCATGCATTTGAAAGAGAACAAGGAGGAGTTCATGGGAGGGTTTGGAGGGAGGAAAGGGAAGAGGGAAATGATGTAATTATATTGTAATCTCCGAAAACAGTTTTGACCAAAGCCTAGCTGTCTATCATGATATTGTTTTGTTGTTGCTATTGTTTTGGTTTGGTTTTGGTTTTTTGAGACAGGGTTTTTCTGGAGCTCTGGAGCCTGTCCTGGAACTAGCTCTTGTAGACCAGGCTGGCCTCGATCTCACAGAGATCCGCCTGCCTCTGCCTTCCAAGAGCTGGGATTAAAGGTGTGCACCACCACTGCCCGACTCACACTAAAATCTCTTTGTTTTAGAAACCTAAGTCCCTTGCTTATGTAGTTCCATGTCAGTTTCTTGTGCTTAGGTTGAAAGATCTCCCGAATTTTTCACAGCCCTTCTTTAAACCTCACATTAATGTGGCTGGCGAGAGTGGCTAACGCGACAGCCTTGCAGAGAAAGGAATCAAAGACATAGCGCACATTCTTATTTTCACCTCCGGGGACTTTGTGACGCGCTGGGTGGCAGATGTACCTGGGAAGGGGCTGCAGCTGGGGAGAACTTGGAGCCTCCCACGCTTCAGTGTGTGGCAAATCTATTTCCTATCACCGCCAACACTTTCCACTAGCAAACGCAAAACGCGGCCTTTCCTTTCCTCCCGGATCGTTTCGGCTACGGAGATATGCCTGCTTCCCTACCGTCAGTTCATGCCTTACTCCATATTTCCCATCTGTGCCCCGTTGTACTACATGCTTCCTTGAAGAGTTGGAGGAATAAAATGCCTACTTTTGCCAACTCAGTGGACTAACAGGACCGAATAAAACACTGCTAACTCTGCTTACATAATGGGTTCCACTGAGGTGTCTCAAAACTAGCTCATTTTTACTTGATTTTTCTATTTCACTGATTATTGAAATTTAAAAACACGCGTCTAGACAAAAAGGTAAAGATGAAAATGACCAATACCACATATGATTTCCTCCCCCGCCCAGCCGCCGCCGCCACCCCGCCCCCCTAGGCAGAACCTGATAGCGGCTCAGGCTGTGTTTCCCGGTACTCACGGGTGAAGTGATTAGAGGTGGACGGGTTGATGCTGTCCCCGCTGTCAGCGCTCTCACTGCTGGAGACTTCGTCATCTGATTCCCGGGCAGAGGAGCAGGGTGAGGAGGCGTCCACATCTTCAAACTTCCGCTTTAAGATTCCACTCATAGCTGCAGCGTTATCACATGTACCTGGAGCGGGAAGGAGCAGCCAAGCGTTGAAATGTGACTGCGGACTGCGGGGCCCACATTTCCCAGCATTTTCTCATGTGACTTGGATACATGGGCTGAGCTGTAGCTGTCCCATGAAAGTATCACGAAGCAGATTTCTTTTTCTACTTCAAGTTAACAAAAACCAGGGTAAAAATTAATAGGAGTCCTTGACACTTCAGTCAGTCCAACATTTCAATGGTTTTCTAATGTCTTTAAGAAATAGTTCAGGTGGGCAATGGTGGCGCACGCCTTTAATCCCAGCACTCGGGAGGCAGAGGCAAGGCTGAATTCTGTGAGTTCGAGGCCAGTCTAGTCTACAAGAGCTAGTTCCAGGACAGGCTCCAAAGCTACGAAGAAACCCTGTCTCAAAAAAAAAAGAAAAGAAAAGAAGGAAGAAAGAAAGAAGGAAACAAGGAGTTCAGCTTAATTTAGTACCTTTAGTCTTTTTGCTGGCAAAAAATAAGAAAATACACGAGTTTTTTCATGGAATTCTGTTTTAAAAAAAAATAAAATGGCAATGCCCCCAAAGTCAGAAATGATTACCGCACTGTGCAAAATTCATCTAGGAGAAACACTGAAAGAAGGATGCAAATTTTTTATATTTAGAAAATTTCAAATCCAAGGAGCCTAGTTAGCAAAACATAATGAAGCATATGAAATCAATTCTGAATTTTAGGTGGTTTCCATTTTAATGCTACTGCAAGATGAACTTTGTCCCCATGCTACCTGACTGTTACCTTTCCAGAAATTTCCTGAGGTCTGAGTCTGGTGATTGAACTAACTGAGTGGAGCCAAAGAGTGACCAGCGGACATATCTCCTTCTAAATCATTTGCTTCGCATTAAAGAATTTTCTTTTCCGGGTGCCTGCTTAGCCCTCATCCTTCCTCTTTTACGTTGACAACCAGTTAAAGGATACCAGGTTTTCTTCTCAATATAGTGATAGTTTAGTAAATAAATTAGCTCAGGTATTTCAGTACGATCTCCCTTTGAGAAAATAAGAGTGAACATAGCCCAAAATATTGCAAGTTGATTCGAGGCATTTGAACTCTCGCGTAAGTTCTCCCCGCCACACACAGCCATCAGTCAATCTGGTAGATCAACAGGGAACGAGTTCCTTAAAATTATTTTAAAAAACCACTCAGTTACGTGATCTCAGAACTGCTCTCAGAAATCTCGGAAAACTACCCTTCGCCTGAGCAGATCGCAGCATACGCGCCTGCTCCAATCCCCTGGTCTGACCCGTCTGATCGGAGTTCTCAAAGCACACTAGCTGAATCAGCAGCAGCAGTGCAACCTGGGAAAGAGACGCTTAGCAAGGCGTCTCTTTCAACATCCGAGTCAGATCTACCAACTCGGAAAGATGCAGGCATTAGAGTCTTCTGTGAAGCAACAGGCAGGCATCTCTGAGACATTCCCAAACAGAGAAACCCTTGCCAAATGTTCACTTTGGGTTCCAGCACCTTCTTTCTTGGATTTTACTCTCCACGAATGTGTTGGATGCAATTCGGTGCCCAATTTCAGGTCAAGTCTCTGGCCTGACTGGTGTGACTTTTAAGAAAATCAAACATTGACGTTAGATGCATCATGTCTTTTTTTCTTAATTTCAATTTAATCCTTCTAGGAAAGTGCCGAGTAGCTGATATATTTATGTTTAACTCATTGAGTGGAGCGCTTTTTTTTTTAAAGGTAAAAGCAAGCCACCTGCTGTCGGAGTAAGGGACCACTCTGATGGGCTCCCTCAAATAGCAAAGCAGCTCAAAATTAGTTAACAGCTTTATTAAATGTTCAGCTTCTGCCTGGTTGAATTAGCTATGGAGATAGCTGATAGCCACAGGAAAATATATCTCTGTCCATCCTCCTGAGAATAAAATCTCTATTCTTCCCTCATTTTACCACTCTTCAGAATAGCCTATTATTTTCTTCATCTCAAAGGATGTGAAAAGCATAAAACGTTCGTGCATATCTGAGCCAGCGAGGAGGGGAGAAAAGGATATTTTAAGTGGAGGCTTGAAATAAAAGTAGGACAGGATATAAATTTTAAAATGATTTCACTTCAAGCAAGATGCAAAGCAACTCATGAGGGAGAGACTCCAAGACACAAAACAATGCGAGATGGAACGCTACGGTCAGGACACACATTTCTGTAACAAGATACAGGAATGGAAGCCATGACAGCATCACGGCTGAGTTTCACTCCCCTCATCCCCCACCCCGCAGTGATGGAGGTAAAGGCTGGATGCAGTTTCTGTCTATAGAGTGCGAACCGAAAGGGCCTCTGCTGAACAAAGCAGAGAGGACACGGGCAACAGGTGGCTTAGTGGGGCAGCATCTCCATTACATCGAGCTGTGGAGCTGGTTGCGGGCCCAGCTTCCCTGCGTAACAATGAAGTGGGATATCTGTCTTATCTCACTATATGGGCATCTCATACGAAAATGAGATGAGAAGGGCATAAGTGGTCCACTCCTTTCTGGTGCATAAGCTTTGACGTATTTACTAGAGAGGCAAAGGCGGATACAGCCACCTCCTCTCTCATCTCGCTGATCTTCCTAGGAGAAGGGAGAGTACACGAATTTAGGGAGGTCGTATTTTTTTGCATGTGTTATCTGCCAATTTGTTTTCTCCCAGGTGGTCCATCTCAGAACAACATGGCTGCACAGACACAGATTTAGGTGAAGACGATGGATGCCCATCCTACCCCTACCATTGCTCCCTAAAAGCACATATTCTACATTTTCCTTAAAAGAGGAGACACAAACCGGATGGTTAACAAAATAGGAAGGGATGAGCATTTCAAGTAGGTTCTTTTACACAGAATGAAAGGCCAAAGAACAGTTGCACAGGCACTGATTTATTCTGAAAGTAAGACAGTGGGAAGCTAGCGTAGCTCTTCCTCAGCTATCTGTCCAGTTCAAGAGATGTGCCAGGCCCAGGCACCATCACTACACTTGGACTAGGGAAAATGTCCATCATTCTCCTCTCCTTTGAGATTTTTCTTTGCACTTGAGATGTTTTTCTAGTTACAGGCAGAATGAGAAATTTAAAATACAAAAACCATCATCATATCAGTCTGAGGCTTAAAGCTTCAAAGTGACTTCAGATTATCTTACAAGTTCAAATACCCCCAGTACCTTTAAAAACTCAACCTTCTAGCTTGGCCAGCTTTGTCATTGATTTTGGGGCCTCTGCTTTGCTAATATTTCAGTTCCAAGGATTTTTCAGTGCCTTAAACCTAGTACTTCTCTGTCTTCTAAGTCACTTTGGATAATTGTCCTCTTAACTACTGTTTTTTGTCTTTTTCTGCAGCATTAACTACTTTCCAAATCTCTAACTGGTATCTATGTGTCTCTACATGTGTTAACAATGTAGCCTCTGATAAGAGAGAAGGGGAGGATCCTTGGCTTCTTTATTGATGTTCCAAAATTAGAAGAATACCTTCTATGTGACAGGTGCAGAGTGGAGAGATGTTCAGATTCTGAATGCAATCCCTCACTTCTAAGCCTTAATTACTATGTCATGTCTGTTTGCCCTTCTAGACTGAAAACTCCCGGAAGGGAAAACAGGCATTTACCCTAGTCATGTCTCCATGTCTTGTAAGAACACAGCTGGAATATTTGATTAAATGTGTATCAAAATGAGATGAAACCAACATCAGAATGTACCCCCACTTACGAAGCCAATTATAAGCAGGACATGCACAAAAGGTACTTTTAAAACTCCTGGACCGATTCACCCAATGCAAGATGGGATGCAAAGAAAGAAAGCTTGCGACCAGAGCATGACCAGAGTCGGGGCTGCAGAAAGTCTTTGGCTAAGCTTTGCAGTCACCATGACTAGGGTTCAGTAACTTGTATGCAGGTCTCGTAGCTTGAATTCAATGTGCTAAAAAATGATTTATTTTTGGGATCTCCTGGGTCAGGAATGTTGCCCTCTGATCAGACCATTTCTTTTTTTTTATTTTTTTTTCAAAGTTTATTAAATTATGAAAGTTTCCATTTCCGCTCCTCCTCCCAACACCCTCCCACTCTCCCCTCCCCTTCCTCCTCCCTCTCTATCCCTAAGAGCAGTCAGGGCTTCCAGCCCTGTGGGAAGTTCAAGTTCCTCCCCCCCTCCCTCCAGGTCCAGGAAGGTGAGTATCCAAACAGACTGGATCCCAAAAATCCAGTATATGCAGAGGAAACAAGTCCCAGTGTCATTGTCAATGGCTTTTCAGAAAGGCTCCAGGCCAGCCACATTCAGAGAATCTGGCCACATTCAGAAAATCTGGTTGGATCACATGCTCGTTCAGTCCCAGAGGGGAACTCTCATCCATTGTTGGTGGGAATGCAAACTTGTACAGCCACTGTGGAAATCAGTGTGGCGGTTTCTCAGGAAACTGGGAGTCAACCTCCCTCAAGACCCAGCAATTCCACTCTTGGGAATATACCCAAGAGATGCCCTATCATACTACAAAAGCATTTGTTCAACTATGTTCATAGCAGCACTATTTGTAATAGCCAGAACCTGGAAACAACCTAGGTGCCCCTCAATAGAAGAATGGTTAAAGAAGGTGTGGAACATATATACACTAGAGTTTTACTCAGTGGTAAAAAACAATGACATCTTGAATTTTGCATGCAAATAGATGGACATAGAAAACGCTTTACTAAGTGAGGTAAGCCAGACCCAAAAAGAGGAATATGGTATGTATTCACTCATAAGTGGATTCTAGCCATAATTAAAGGTCTTTGAGCCTATTATTCGAGATCCTAGAGAAGCTAAATAAGAAGGTGAACCTGAAGAAAATCATGTACTTATCCTCCTGGAGATTGGAAATAGACAAAAGTCCCAGGTAACCTTGGGTGCAT